ACAAAATTTAAAGTAGCCCAATTAAAAACATAGAATACCGAACTTAAATGTTGTAGTACTGAAAAAAAATGCAAAGCCAATTTAAAAAATAAAGACTAGTGTCAGGTCGAAGCACCTAAAACATCATACATACACTATATTGCCAAAAGTATTTGCTCACCCATCCAAATTATTGGAATCAGGTGTTCCAATCACTTCCATGGCCACAGGTGTATAAATTCAAGCACCTAGGCATGCAGACTGTTTTTACAAACATTTGTGAAAGAATGGGTCGCTCTCAGGAGCTCAGTGAATTCCAGCGTGGAACTGTGATAGGATGCCACCTGTGCAACAAATCCAGTCGTGAAATTTCCTCGCTCCTAAATATTCCACAGTCAACTGTCAGCTGTATTATAAGAAAATGGAAGTGTTTGGGAACGACAGCAACTCAGCCACGAAGTGGTAGGCCACGTAAACTGACGGAGCGGGGTCAGCGGATGCTGAAGCGCATAGTGCGAAGAGGTCGCCAACTTTCTGCAGAGTCAATCACTACAGACCTCCAAACTTCATGTGGCCTTCAGATTAGCTCAAGAACAGTGCGCAGAGAGCTTCATGGAATGGGTTTCCATGGTCGAGCAGCTGCATCCAAGCCATACATCACCAAGTGCAATGCAAAGCGTCGGATGCGGTGGTGTAAAGCACGCCGCCACTGGACTCTAGAGCAGTGGAGACGCGTTCTCTGGAGTGACGAATCGCGCTTCTCCATCTGGCAATCTGATGGACGGGTCTGGGTTTGGCGGTTGCCAGGAGAACGGTACTTGTCTGACTGCATTGTGCCAAGTGTAAAGTTTGGTGGAGGGGGGATTATGGTGTGGGGTTGTTTTTCAGGAGCTGGGCTTGGCCCCTTAGTTCCAAGGAAAGGAACTCTGAATGCTTCAGCATACCAAGACATTTTGGACAATTCCATGCTCCCAACTTTGTGGGAACAGTTTGGAGCTGGCCCCTTCCTCTTCCAACATGACTGTGCACCAGTGCACAAAGCAAGGTCCATAAAGACATGGATGACAGAGTCTGGTGTGGATGAACTTGACTGGCCTGCACAGAGTCCTGACCTCAACCCGATAGAACACCTTTGGGATGAATTAGAGCGGAGACTGAGAGCCAGGCCTTCTCGTCCAACATCAGTGTGCGACCTCACAAATGCGCTTCTGGAAGAATGGTCAAAAATTCCCATAAACACACTCCTAAACCTTGTGGACAGCCTTCCCAGAAGAGTTGAAGCTGTTCTAGCTGCAAAGGGTGGACCGACGTCATATTGAACCCTATGGATTAGGAACGGGATGTCACTTAAGCTCATATGTGAGTCAAGGCAGGTGAGCAAATACTTTTGGCAATATAGTGTACATATAGGAAAAGAAAGAAGGCACAGAGACAATTAATTTAGTTTTACTCGTGAGGAGAGTTGGAAGAGACTGCGGAGTTTACAAATCTCCAACCCACTCTGGTGGTCTTCAGCTTTCTCCACACTATTTATTATAGTTAGAGGGGGGGTCCCTAATTACACAAGCTGAGGTTGCGCTAAAGGAATAGGAAAGAAGAAATGCAATTCAATTTGCAGCCTCAGTGAACAAGTCAATTTGCATTTAAATGTCTTGCGGTCAAATAGAACCTCCTGGTTTCGTTAAGCTTGAGCAATACTTCCTGATAGTTGACCTATACTGCTTGTGCATCACCTCCCTGGAACAGTAATATGTCACACATTATACATCATACGAACAAACTTTAAGTATCTTATACATAAATATTCCAACAGTTAGCAAAAAACCTAAAAACAACTGAATTAGCAAATGCAAAAATATGACCAAACAATCACACAAAAGATCAGCTCCCCCTAGTGGTCTGGAGCATTTATGTTATGCAGGTCTAGTTTGCAACATTTACAACTTGCCTTAACTTGCATTTTTATTTTTTTGTTTTGTTTAACTCAGCAGTTCTTTGAGACAACAGCTTTGCTCCTTCTTAACATTTATTCGTTGCATGTTTCTCCTGCTGGTCTTATTCTTGTGTTCTTATTTTGAATTTGCCTGACCTTCTGAATATGCTGATTTACAAAGAGTCTGCGCCCCTCAGCACCTTGCAAAACACCATGAAGCCCAGCAATAAGTGAAAAAGCCATTTTGCCTTTTCTACATGTGAGCCGTGGTAGCGTGACTCAATGACAGAAATTGAGATAAAAGTTAGATTCATGCACGGATTCTGACTTTTAAAGTTAAAATGTTCTCGTCAAGAGATGAGGAGTTTCATTAATGTTCCTATTTTTCGCATTTTGAATTTCATTTTAAAAAACTTATGATTAATAAAATGTAAATATTTGTTTTGATTCCTAATCTTTTCATCAGGGCTGCAGTAAAAACTACCAATGCTGTGAGGGAGCATTTGTTTCACAGGGGGAACTTTAAATCAGAATGATCTTTGAGTAAATCCAAGATACCATGTATTGATCAAACTCAGCTGGCTCTAAAATTTGGTTAAAACAAGAGATAAAATATGAGGAATATAAAAAGCAAACATCCAGAAACACTAAAAGAGTTTAAAGTGCGACATGTGTTACATAAAGAACCAGATGTTACAGCTGATGACAATAACTGTTTACATTTATTCCTGATAAAAAATAGCTACAAATTATTATTCATATATTCACTTTTTTTCCCTTCATATTTTTACAAAATCTGAGTTATTAGCAGATTTTAGTCAATCTAGTTTTAAATTTAATTTTATCTCTCACAAAATAACCCCTCTGATTGAGTGGTCAGATGAGGATTAAGCCCCCACTGCAATTTTTTTTAATCTAAGTAAGTTTATTATTCTTAGAAAAAGGTCATTTTTCTTGAATTAAGCAGTTAAGTAATACAATTTGCCAATGGAATAAGGCAATTTACATTAAAAAAAAAGAAGAAAACAACTGTAGTCTCTTATTTCAAGTGTATAATATCTAATTATCTTCTTTTTTACTTATTTAAAGAGTAAGAATTTAAATTTCCGAAGGCAGATTATTTTATTTACCTGCTCAAATTAAGGGTAAATAATCTTAGTTTAACAATGTTTTGATCATTTTTGCATTGCACATAAATAATAAGGACACACAACATGGATTAAGACTTAAGGAAAAACAAGAAAAAAGCTATTTCAATAACAAATACATTATTTCAATAACATTAACGTCAGCCATCCCAGCATATATAATATTATTACAGTTAAAATCCCGTTGCTCCTCATCATACTCTGCCCTCCAGCACAGTCAGCCTCTGGTCATCATCCATTTCTTTTCCTCTCCCAGTGACGCTTCATATGCAGTTTCTGGAGACGAGCGTCCTGCTGTAATTACTTGTTTATAAATGACGTCTCTCTGTGTGTAACGCTGTCTGATTGCTTCTTGTTCTGATCTAAAATTCACTTTTGCAGTCGTCCAAGTTTTGCCTGTGTTTGGATCTGAAACATCAGCCGAAAAATAAAGAGAAAATATCACCTGCTTATTTTTTAAAGATCATTAAAGGATAAAGAAAAAAATGTTTTGCAGTGTTTATTTAATGGCTGATATTTCTTTCTCTGAGAGATGTGAGTTGTTTGGGGGGGCAGTAACACATTGGTGGAAAGTTATAGAATTAGGCGACTTTTTACGTGCCTGAGGGGTCCCCGGCATGGTTGGTTGTAGACAGGGGTCAATTGGGGCCAGTGCCCCTGTAGATCATGTCCTGGCCTCTGTTATGGCCCCTGTACTGAAGACATAATACTCTAAGAAATTCACACGCTGGAAAAGACTGATAGGTCCTTTGGCTCTATTTCATTTTATTTATTTATTTATTTATTTTTTTTTACAAATTCTGTTTTACTAATTATTTAAAAACAATAACGTGATGGCTTCAGTGGTATTGAGATAGGATCCCAGTTTTCATCTGCTAAACGTTTTTTTTTTTTTTCAAAACAAAATAAAAAAACTCAAATGTTTAAAGCTGAATGTATCTGTTTTTCTTAAGTTCTAATACAGATTTTATAGAAACTTTTAATTTTAACTTAAATTAAGTCAAAAATATGTAAAATTCCTTAATTATGAATGTGTATGGACTTAGTAAGACATAGAATTTTAATTAAACCTAATTGAATAGAAATTTCACTTCATGCAGTTATATTAATATATTTAAATCCCTTGCCCTGTTTTTTATTTTTTTTATTTTATGCTTTTCTTTGCCCCCATCAAAACACGCTGGGCCCCTCCTGGCCCCCTGGTACATTTGGTCTAGAACCGCCACTGGTCCCTGGTGATGCTATTTCATTAATGGGAGATAAGAAATTGATTAAAACAAGAGAGCTAGTTTAGTCTTTAAAACAGACATGGCTACGGCTTGATGCTAACATATTAGCTGTTAGAATTCAGTCAGAATTCTGAGAATAAATGCAGAATAAGGACTTTTTTCTCATGTTATACTGAAATAAAAGTTTTAAATCAGTTATTTTTTTTATTTTTTCAGTGACCCTAATCATCTTCTGTATTATCCAATCCAATTAGAATCTCCAAATTGTTTTGAATAAAAGGCATTTTTTTCTTCTGCATAGTGAGGCAGAGCAACAGATTTTCATGTAAAGGTATTTCCTGTGAATGAACAGCAGGTGCCAGCACTGAACCAATTTTCAAACAAAGGAAAGGAAATAATGGTATCCTCTCACAGTAATTGATATACTTTGTTTCGATCTGCGAGCTTTAATCAACAGTCAGCCTCAGAGCATACAGAAAAAAATAAAAATAATTTGCAGGATTATTATTATTATTATTTTTCCACCAGAGAGCAGGTGGTTAAGGTGTGTTTAGTTTAAGGTGAATCAGACGCAGGTTTGAACCTGCAGCTTCAGGTGAGGCTCAGCTCAGACACCATCAGGGCCCACATGTGCCTGAAAGCAGCTGACCAATCACAGCCCGAGGAGCTAAATGAGGCCACGCCTACCTCCCCCCACAGCACATCCCAGTGTTTTGATCCAGGTTTGTTTCGGTGTTGCTGCAGAGGAAACCAGCCTCGTTCGGCTTTTCTTTTCTTTTCTTTTTTATTTTTTTGTGTCTCAGATCTCAGTGAGTCACTCATGTGAGGTTCTGTCTCTTTTTTCAATTTATTATTTCTATTTGATAAAAAAGAAGAGAGAAATGTCTCCCCAGTTTAGGAGGGTTTCCCCAGTATGACCTCACCGGGCAGGCGCTCCTCCTCAGCGGGTTCTCCTCATCAGGCTGCCTCCCTGATCCTCTGGAGGAACCAGATTTCATCTTTATTCTGGGCTCTGTGAGCTGGAAGTGTCGCAGGAGAGATAAGTTTATGCTTTGACTCCAAACTCGGACCTCCAGAAGAGCGAAGAGACTAAATCTGCAGCTGTCTGCTCCTCAGGGTGAGTAGAAACTTGTTATTTTGGAGGCTTCAGACAGAAGTTCATGAAAAATGAATGAGATGCACCAGCCTCTGCTTTGTGTCCTGAATGTGGCTGGCTTCTCTTTCATTATTACAGCTGCTCCATCATTTCTGTTTACCTGCAGCGCTTCTTGGGAAATAGGCTGCATGCTCCTCATACCTTCAATCTGTACATTATGAGGCAATCCCGCCACACCTCAGTGGATTGCTGCAGGGAAGGCTGCTTTCAGATGCAGCTTTCAGGAAACTCTGCTGGAACTTGACAGTGAGCAGAGGCGTAGCCAGAAAATTTTAATAAGGGCAATAACCAATGTACAATGAGGGGTGGCCGAAAGCGGATAGGCACCAGAACCTCTGGGTTAATCTATAGCAGGGGTCTTTGAAGGACCCCCCAAACTGATGGTGATATATACATATATATACAGGGTTGACGTAAAGCAAGGGTCACCTGACCTATGAACTAGAGCAGTCGGTGTTCACCTGAACTTCATAGTAGGGATGCACGATATTGGGATTTTGGCCGATATCCGATATGCCGATATTTTAAAACTCATGTAGCCGATAACCGATATCGATACCGATGTTAAAGCTGGACAAAAATAAGTAGTCATTGAAAAAAGCAGTTTTGTTATCCATTTCTGACACTTTGAAAAATAATATACTCAAAGATATTTTCATATGCTGATATCAAATTGATTTTTAAAAACGCGGTATCGATCTATTTTACTTTCAAAATCTCGTGAAATTTCATCGTTCTGTTACAAACTCTCGTGATATTTGGCAAATTCTTGTGAGATTTTGTTAGTAAAATAGATCGATACCGCGTCAATATATATCAACGTATAAAAATATACATTATATATATATATATATATATATATATATATATATATATATATATATCTATATATATATACACTCACCGGCCACTTTATTAGGTACCCCATGCTAGTAACGGGTTGGACCCCCTTTTGCCTTCAGATCTGCCTCAATTCTTCGTGGCATAGATTCAACAAGGTGCTGGAAGCATTCCCCAGGGAGTTTGGTCCATATTGACATGATGGCATCACACAGTTGCCGCAGATTTGTCGGCTGCACATCCATGATGCTAATCTCCCGTTCCACCACATCCCAAAGATGCTCTATTGGATTGAGATCTGGTGACTGTGGAGGCCATTTGAGTACAGTGAACTCATTGTCATGTTCAAGAAACCAGTCTGAGATGATTCCAGCTTTATGACATGGCGCATTATCCTGCTGAAAGTAGCCATCAGAAGTTGGGTACATTGTGGTCATAAAGGGATGGACATGGTCAGCAACAATACTCAGGTAGGCTGTGGCGTTGCAACGATGCTCAATTGGTACCAAGGGGCCCAAAGAGTGCCAAGAAAATATTCCCCACACCATGACACCACTACCAGCCTGAACCGATGATACAAGGCAGGATGGATCCATGCTTTCATGTTGTAGACGCCAAATTCTGACCCTACCATCGGAATGTCGCAGCAGAAATCGAGACTCATCAGACCAGGCAACGTTTTTCAAATCTTCTATTGTCCAATTTTGATGAGCTTGTGCAAATTGTAGCCTCAGTTTCCTGTTCTTAGCTGAAAGGAGTGGCCCCCGGTGTGGTCTTCTGCTGCTGTAGCCCATCTGCCTCAAAGTTCGACGTACTGTGCGTTCAGAGATGCTCTTCTGCCCACCTTGGTTGTAACGGGTGGTTATTTGAGTCACTGTTGCCCTTCTATCAGCTCGAACCAGTCTGGCCATTCTCCTCTGACCTCTGGCATCAATAAGGCATTTCCGCCCACAGAACTGCCGCTCACTGGATGTTTTTTCTTTTTCCGACCATTCTCTGTAAACCCTAGAGATGGTTGTGCGTGAAAATCCCAGTTCTGAAATACTCAGACCAGCCCTTCTGGCACCAACAATCATGCCACGTTCAAAGTCACTCAAATCACCTTTCTTCCCCATACTGATGATCGGTTTGAACTGCAGGAGATTGTCTTGACCATGTCTACATGCCTAAATGCACTGAGTTGCCGCCATGTGATTGGCTGCTTAGAAATTAAGTGTTAATGAGCAGTTTGACAGGTGTACCTAATAAAGTGGCCGGTGAGTGTATATATAAAAACATATTTGAGTATATTATTTTTCAAAGTGTCAGAAATGGATAACAAAACTGCTATTTTCAATGACTACTTATTTTTGTCCAGCTTTAACATCAGTATCGATATCGGTTATCGGCTACATGAGTTTTAAAATATCGGCATATCGGATATCGGCCAAAATCCCAATATCGTGCATCCCTACTAAATAAACGTAGAAATTAACAGAAACAATAAAAATATGTTGATAATGAACAAAGTTTAGGCTAACATTAACCCTTGTAGCTCATGGGTCAGTAGTGGTCGCCCTTCCTACGTCTCGGTACCCTTGAAGTGGCCCTCAGTCTAGGGATGCACAATATTGGGATTTTGGCCGATCAAATATCAAATATCAGCAATTCCCTGCAGAAGCATTTATACCTCTGTAACCATTTCACATTGGTTTACATTTACAGTGAAGCGGCTGTTCCAGCCGTTGCATTTCCCAATTCTCCCGAGTGGTGCACGACTTTACATGAGTGAATAAAGTGAATGTGATTGGTCGATTATCAAGGGGGCGGGATTGTTGTGGCGGAAGGTTTGCAAGCATGTTTGGTTGTGGCCAGTTTGTCGGAAGCATCTTGCTAACCAGTTAGCAACTTAGTGCTAGTCAGTTCCAATGGGAAATTCCATTGGGACCAAGTAGCACTAAACTTAGAAACGACGCTGTCAAGGAACGCTATGGACAGAGGAAACATGCAAGAGGAGGAGAGTTTAGTGTCGGAGGTCGTGGATGAGTCTCCTCCGTCGTCCAGTTTTTATTTAGAGGAGGAAAGCGGGGACGAAGATGTTGTGGAAGAGGACGCCAGGGCGGCAGAAGCTTGGTTTGGTGTAGAAGGCTTCCAGCCGTACATGTTTGAGCCCTTGCCTCGCAACGCTGCCAGTTCTGTTAGCTCTACGCCTGCCGAAGACACAGACGTCCATCCCCGTGAGCACTGGGACGCAACTCAATGGGAAAGGAAAGGATTCTGATTTCAACCGTTGCATATATTAGCTGCAACATATGAATCAAGATGCTATTGGCCGAAAAAATTTGATTGACAGATGACCGTTGATATATGATTGGATGAATTTAGGTGTTCAGGCTGACAGAGAACTAATTGGCCTGCAGAAGATAACGGAAAAAAAAAACAGATTTTAAGACAGGATTTTTTTTTTTAACTACAAATTTTCTAAATTTTGGGATAAAATCGTCTGATAAAGAGTACATTTATATACATGTTTAAGCCAGAATTATTTGATATTCAAATATGATTTCCCTATAACTTTAAACTTCTATTTGTATTTTAGGAGTCTTATGTGAGAAAATCCAAGATAAAGTTGTGCAAAAATTGTCAAACGGAACAAAAATGACACTTTTTTGGCCCTTCCCAGTCATAAGCCAGCAGAATGGCAGCCCACTTCCCTCCAACTCCCAGCAGACCCCCCCCACCCCTCCCCTTTTTTTTTATCTGACTCAACCTTCCACTGAATTACAGGCTCTGACCAGGAGATGATGCTTCTCTTTAGATCTTAATGTCCACAAATCATGACAGAATATTTTCGTACAAAGATTGATGTTTAAAAAGGGAATTATAGGGGACCAACCAAGGGCCCATCAAGGAAAGTGGGTAAATTTTGAATGGCTACTACTGTAGATCTACTGTTTGCATAAAGGTTAACAGTTTTTTCATGACTTTTTAACTGTGTTTTTCTACATATGATGTTAAATGTAATTAACTAGAGAACCCAGAAAAAACTGGATCCTTTCTAATGTTTTCTAATTTGTAAAAACTTGAAAATTTAGAGGGTGCAACACATTCTTATCATGACTGGCCTCTAAGGGGACTTTAAAGGTGTTTGTGTTGTAGACCACCCTGAATGCTTTCCTTGGGAAAAAGGTGTAAAAAGGTCATTTCAAAAGAAAAAGTGGAAGTCAACCGTCTTAAGGTGATTCCAATGTCTCCAGAGGAGCGAACTCTGGGGAAAAAAACCAAGCAGTTCATTCAGTGCATCAGCCCGAGACACAGAGACCCTCCTTTGGCAGCGAACAAAGGCGTCTGTGCGCAGCCGCCACGCCAATCAACGGGAATTTCAACCTCAAGGAGGCTCTTTCCAGCAAGCTCACTGGAGCCGACGCAAACATCTTCGGCTTTCGCTGGGAGGCATTCGTGGGATTCCAAGGAGCATTAGGTGCCCTCAGCAGAGCCTGATTCCTGACAGCAGAGGAAGTGAAACCGACCGTTTCGCACCTCGAAAGACCTCAGCTACACCGCTAACATGCAGGGGCATCCCTTAAATGGTGTCAGCAAATTGCAGCAGAGAAAAGGCAATTAGTCACTTCTGCAATGTTTAACATAAGAATGCTGGATGCAAGGGAAACCTGTTTTTGTGCATTCTGCAAAACATTTTAATCCTCTCAGGAATAACAGCTAAAATATAAGGAATAAAACCAGGAGGATCCTTATGGCAAGAGCTCTATCATTAGTGTAATACTGCATGATAACCATGAGTATTAACTTTTTTAATGGAAACTCATCCTACAGCTCTGTGACACGTATTTGAAAAAAAAAAAATGTTTAGGATTTCTGAAGAGATTATAGCGCAAAGAAAAAAAACAAGCTGGGGATTTATGCACAATATTTAGGTTTAATGCAGATCAAACAGATGTGGCATCATGCTGATATAGCGGCACAGCAGGCTTTGTGCGTCTGTGTGCCAGGAGTTATTTCCAACGTCAGGACGGTTTGACGTCTCGCATGAACAGGGAGGCTGATGCTTAACTATCTGAGCAGGAAAACGTTGTCTAGACGCTGAACCCGGTTGAATTATCTTGAATTATGAAGGAAAATCC